CATTATGACAACAGGAAAGTGTAAACTTTACAATAAATGAAACAAAACCAAAACTCCCCCTTCTTCACCTTTGCTTGCATGTTTTCACTTTTCTTAAAAGTTAATTTTTTAATATATATTTACAATAAAAATACATATTTATTATATTTTTAATTTATACTTTAAAAATATAAATTAAAAAATACTAAATTTATTAATTATTTAATAAAAATCATCAATACCATACATGTATTAAAAATAATATTCACCTCTTTACTTTTTTTTATTTATAAAGTTTTATTATAAAAATATACAATGAACACGTTCTTAAGCCACATGGCGCCCAATTAGAAAAATGATTTTTTATGTAGTCAACATTAATAAGACGTTCGCTTACCCGCGTTTAGTGTACAAGTCTTTTATTTTTTATTTTTTTGGTAAAATAATAAATAATTATTTTTTATTTTTTATTTTATTACACATATATAATATATAATTTGAATTTAAAAATTATTATTTTAAAAAAAATAACTATTAAATTATTTAATTTGTTATTTTGTATACATATTTAAACTCACCAATCAAATTCTTATTTGATGGCATTTTTTGTTGTGACCCAATGTGGCAACTGCAACCCAATAAAATTCTCAGTGAATTGCTCCCCTAATCAGTAATGAAAACTTTTTCAAAAATAAGATACTAATATAATTTTTAACTTTTAACTTATAATAATTGTCCTTGTAAAAAAAAATTTTTTCTTTTTTTTTGGTTCAAGGAATCAGGGGTGAGTTGTTGGGTGTTTTATTACGTGTCATGCGAAAGCGAAACTCAATTTTCACGCACTCACACTAGGTACGGTCCGAATCTAATTCCTCCAACACACGAAGTCAAACGGCAAGTTCATACGTCTACAAAAATGGAGTGTTGGACACCTTTCTTCTCATCCGACGCTTTCTGTTCCTTAGAATGTCAAAATGAAATCTCAACTTTGTTTTAAATTTCTAACCGTGCATACATAGAGGAATATAATCTTTATATTCGTTCTGTATCTAAATATCACGATCTATTAGTACTATCTCAGTTCCCTGTTTTCTTCAACATCTCGGTCTCCAATGGCGATTCTGGTTTTATCAGAATGCGGTTTACAGTCTCTCCCTTGTATCTCTGCTATACCCAGAAATGGGTTCATCTTAAGAGACTATTCAAATCCCAAACTTTTGCATTCCAGCAAGATTTTCACGGATCAAAACCCGTCTCCGATCAAATTATTAGGTGGGTGTTTTAGAGAACGAAACTGGGGGATAAAAGTGAGTGAGCCGATTTCGCCCGTGGGAGAAGGGGAGAGAGGAGAGAGCATCAAAAGGGTTAATGGGATTGAGGAAGATGATTCCGAATTCGATCCCGGTGCGCCTCCGCCGTTCAACTTGGCTGATGTTAGAGCAGCCATTCCGAAACATTGTTGGGTAAAGGACCCTTGGAGGTCTATGAGCTATGTCGTGAGGGATATTGTTCTGGTTCTTGGGTTGGCTGCTGCTGCCGTTTCTATCGATAACTGGCTTGTTTGGCCTCTGTACTGGGTGGCTCAGGGGACCATGTTTTGGGCTCTCTTTGTTCTTGGCCATGATTGGTAATTCATAAATGATTTTAGTTTTTATTACGCATCTTTATTTTCTTTCAATTGGCATATTTGATTTCCATTTGTCCATCTTTTTTTTCTGGTTGTGACTAATGGGGATGTTCATGATTTTGTCCTGTAGTGGTCATGGAAGCTTTTCAAATAATCCCAAGTTAAATAGTGTCGTGGGACATTTGTTGCATTCTTCAATTCTTGTGCCTTATCATGGATGGTATGCTCAAAAAGGAAAAAAGAACTCTTCTTTTCTGGAATTATGTATGATCTTAGTTTCTTTCGTTTTTCAGTTTTCCATGTAATCTGCTATGTATAATTTGAAGAGTGGGGATTGTTAATAAATTGCATAAGTGCATAACAATGAGGTTGATTTTACAGGAGAATTAGCCACAGGATTCATCATCAGAACCATGGCCATGTTGAGAATGATGAATCATGGCATCCGGTTGGTTAATCTTTTCTCCTTTTGGTTCTTGACTATTAGATGTCTTTTTGGTATTCATTCTGAAAAGTAAAATTTTCCTTCCACAACAGTTGTCTGAGAAGATCTACAGGAATTTGGATAACTCAACACGATTTCTGCGTTTCAAATTGCCTTTTCCCATGCTTGCATACCCTTTCTATCTTGTAAGTATGCTATAGCTTTCTCTGGGTTGATCAATTTGATCCTCAAGGTGAGAAATAATCAATAATTCATGATTCTTTGATTATAGTGGAAAAGAAGTCCTGGGAAAACTGGTTCTCATTTTGATCCTAACAGTGACTTGTTTGTCCCGAGTGAGAGAAAAGATGTGATCATCTCCACTCTATGTTGGACAGGCATGGCAACTTTGCTTGTGGGGTTGTGCTTTACAATGGGTCTTATACAGATGCTTAAACTTTATGGTGTTCCGTATTGGGTAAATTGCTTTCCTTTTCCTCATATATCGCTTTGTAATGGAATGAATACATTCATCCGTTCTTATTAATTATTATTTTTTTATCTCAATTAGAGAAAGAAGCTTAAGTGTCTTCCTCTCAATGTTAGGTATTCGTTACATGGCTGGATCTTGTTACTTACTTGCATCATCATGGTCATGAAGACAGGCTTCCCTGGTTTCGTGGAAAGGTATGATTCTTTCAAAACAATTAAACAACACAACATTGCAAGAGGTAACCTTTGAGATTTTATCTTGTTTAGCTCTAGGTTGTGGAATAAATTGTATGCCTTTTGGTGATACTGAATTTCTGTAGTTTATATTTATGCTGGACAGGAATGGAGTTATCTCAGGGGAGGACTTACTACGCTTGATCGCGACTATGGATGGATTAATAACATCCACCATGACATTGGAACTCATGTCGTACACCATCTCTTCCCTCAAATCCCACACCATCACTTGGTGGAAGCAGTGAGTATATCTCTTTCACCCAACAAAATGATAGCCTTTGGTGGAAGGTATTATAGCTTGATGTCATTTTCTAATCATTTCTTCTTTCTATAGACCCTGGCAGCTAAGCCCATTCTTGGGAAATATTACCGGGAACCAGAAAAATCAGCAGGACCATTACCATTCCACCTACTTGGAAACTTGGTTAGAAGCTTGAAGAAAGATCATTATGTTAGTGATACTGGAGATGTTGTGTATTATCAGACTGATCTCGAGATTAATCACTATTCTAAGTCGAAATGAAGCTTCATAAAATTCTTCAAATAGAAAAGTTAGATGCTTAACCTCAACAGTCCTCTTAGCAAAGATAATCTCGCTCATGAAGCGTATTTGAGGCTAGTCCTTTATAATAATGCATTAGTTGTTGTACAAAGTTCTCTATGTACATAACACTTACATATAAAACTAAAAAAAAAAAATAAATAAAAATAGTACACATCGATAGACTGTTATAAAAAATGATTTTGAAATAATTTTTTTATCATTTTTTGATATAACTTGACATATTATTTAAATAATTAGTTATTTTTATTTATGTGAAACTTCTAATATTAAATACATTCACTTATTTAATAACATATAAAAATTATATCAAAAAATAATATAAAAAAATAATTATCCTTATAATATCCCCCACCTCTTATTTGGATGAAGGGATGTAAAAAAAAAAACTTGTGAGTAGTTGAAATTTTTACAGTTTTTAGTATAAGGGGAAATTGCACTTACCCCCCATGCGGTTTAGGGGTTAAGTGCACATTTAGTGATTTGGGGGTTAAATTTGCACTATTAAAAAAATAGGGATGATTAATTATACACGCACCAGCCCAGTCACATAACAAAACGGCTCAAATAAACTTTTTGGGTCTATCGAACTATGTATAGTATACCCATCTTTTGGGCCCAAGCCTGAATAAACTTCATACTTCATGGTACAGATGAGTCAACAGAGTCGGTGAGTCGCTGTTGCGAGTACAAGAGAATAATACACTCGATCCTTCTGAATCCTGCCTGAGCCTGACAGCAAGACCTGCACTGGACATGAAAGTCAGAAACATCGGCGGCATAAAAAACAATTGGGTATTGTACGTATAAAATTTTTTATCCAAGGACACTTGAAAACGAAATTGGTCCCCTCTTTTAGATCTAAATCATGTGGATATATGCCCCTAATAGCAAATCTATGCCTCTAAAAATTTGTTTTCTTGCACTTTATCGTACATACTACGCGATTGGACTGCGCGTAGGTCTTAGCATTTTCCCTCTTTTCTAATGTGAATTCCACGACCAAAGGGCTCCCACGCCATAATAATATACCCACTACCCACTTTTTCATCTCAAATCCAAAGCCACGATCTCCCAATTAGCATTCAAACACAAAGCCCGCCCCTGTTCCTTTTCCAGTTTTCCCTCGTCTGTTCTTGCTCACTACTGTATTTTCATCCCTGATTTAGCTATGTCTAACAGAAACAAACGTCAATCTGGGTGTTTTTCTTCTCTTTTGCGCCGGATTTTATGTGCCGGGAGCCCTCAAACCCATCCGTCGGACAATATGGTTGAGTTGGATGAGGCAACCGAGTTTGTTGATGAGGGTAAGATCCAACTCCAGGTTGCGGCTAGTGCTAGTGCTGGTCCAGGAGTGGTGGCGCGGTTAATGGGGCTGGAGTCATTACCGGAGAAGAACCGGATTCCGATAGGGAAGAGTCCAGGTCAGGTTACACGGAGCAGGTCGGTGAATTTTATGGATTATTTACTGGAGTTTGATCTGACGGAAAGCAAGCATCGCCGGGTGAGGACGTCGGTGTCGTTTCGGGAGGTGCCGCCGGTGTTGCAGCAGAATCAGAATCAGGAATTCGTGGTCGTCTATTGGGAAGATGAAATGGATAAGAGTAAAGAAGCAGGGGCATTACAGAGGAAATCTGAGAGAAGACATGGGTCAGGGAGTAAGCAGAGGGAGATTAATGTAAAAGAGAGATTACCCAAAAAGGAGGACAATCAGAGGAAGAAGAACAAGAAGATTTCGAAGTTGAAGAATGAACCGAGAAGGGTGGCTGGAAAAAATTCCTCCAGTAGCAGCAGGAATGGAGTTCGGATCAAACGAGGTGTAAATTCGAAGGCAAAAGCTCCATTGAAGATGGTAGATCAGACCAAGAAGAACAAGAATCAAATTGGAGTTAGTAAAGCGGAGTATGAGTATAATTCAGACACTTCAAGTCCCCTCTCAGTTGTTGATGCCATTGATTTCGCTTTCTACCATGAAAATTCCTTCCCAGGTTTGTTTTTGTGAATTACTCTGTTTTTTCTTTTGTACTCACTATTCCCGTTGAGGTCACGTTCTTGAATTTTGATTTATTACAGAAGTTCCAAGGTCCATGGAGATGGAATTGAGCTCCAATAAGACATGCATTTCAATCACTGAAGATCTTAAGTTGACTAAGAAGAAGTGTTCTGAGCCCAAGGACATGAATGAGACTGAGTTTTACCTGGAATTGGCAGGGGCGCTCTGCAAGCTAACAGGAGAAGACATAAGGCAGTCCAAATGGACTAGTGGGAAAGGAGGGTTAGAGTTCGAAGACTTTGAAGAGTTGTGTATGGAGTTTGGGGAACATATATTGAATTTCATGTTGTACCAAGTGTTGGACGAACTTGTTGGATTTCAAACATGTAGATAATGAGAATCGTGTATTTTCAAAAAAAAAAAAATAGTAATAATAATGAGAACCGTGGAGAGCTTTCATTGTGAGAGTATCTTACTTTTTAAAGCCTTGATATGTACTAAAATGTGAAACTTCATGGAAGGCCAATTTGTAAATTCATTTATATTTCTAGAAGAATTCTAGAAACATGAAATGTTGTATGAATGTTAGGAGGCATGTTAGAAGACTAAAATAATGTTCTGGGGTTCTTATGTGATCTTGACATGTATGATGATTTAATATAAGAAATCCATACTACAAGCGCAGTATTATAGCCACTAACCTAATGTGGAATTCAACTAGTGGAATTGTATTCAAATTCCGTCAACCCTCTCATGTTATACCAAGTGGTAGATGAACTTGTTGGATTTCAAACATGTAAATAATGAGAACCATGTATTTTCAAGAAAAAAAAAAAGGTAATCATAGTGAGAAACTTGGGGAGGTTTCATTGTGAGAGTATCTTACTTTTTTTAAGCCTTGATATTCATATTGGATTACTTTTTTTAAGCCTTGCTATTCAAATTGGAATCTTGATGGATGATCAATTTGTAAATTCATTTATATTTCTAGAAGCGTCTTAGAAACATGAAATGTTGTATGAATGTTACGAGGTATGCTAAAAGATTAAAATAATGTTCTATAGTTCTGGTGTGGTCTAGACGTGTATAATGATATAATATATTGATTGTTAAGGTAAAACCTTATATATCAAAGAAATCCACACTACAAGCATGGTAGCATAGCTATTGATCTAATGTGAAATTTATCCTATAAAGCAGTGTTCAAACTCTACTAATCCCTTCAGCATTTCTTCTCTACCCCAACAAGTATTCATGTAGAAAATAAACAATATATGAAATATTATTTATATGTTTTGTTTTAAGAAAATGTTTTGTGCACCTTTCTGTTCAACACCCAAGGGTGCACACCCTTAATAATCAAATAATTTTAACAATAAAATTATAAATTTAACCTTAAAAGTCATCTTCCTCTCAATACCCCTTTTTCTTCTTATCTCTCCATCTTCCTTTGTTGAATTCTTCTCCTTCCCTAAAACAAGATCTGCTTCACCCTTTTATTTATTTATTTATTTTTTTGGGTTGCTTGGCGATGACGATGATGATGGTGGTAATGGTGATGGAAAACAGAGGGATCTATGGGTTCTTGGAGAACCCAATCTGCGTTCTTCGAGAACCCAAACCGAGAGAGAGAGAGAGAGAAGGGGGTCTGGGTTCTCCAGGAGAACTCAAATCGAGTTCTTTGAGAAGAACCCAGAACCCAGGTCTGGTTTCTCTAGGAGAACCTGGATTAGGAGAACCCAGACCGAGAGAGAGAGAGAGAAAAAAAAAAGGGGTCTGGGGTCTGGGTTCTCTTGGAGAACCCAAATCGAAGAAGATCGGGTTCTCTGAGAAGAACCCAGACTAGGTTCTCCGAGAAGAACCCAGACTGGGTTCTCCGTGAAGAACCTAGGTCTGGGTTCTCTCGAGAACCCGAAAGAAAAAAAAAAAAGGGGTCTGGGGTCTGGGTTCTCTTGGAGAACCCAGATCGAAGAAGATCGGGTTCTCCGAGAAGAACCCAGACTGGGTTCTCCGTGAAGAACCTAGGTCTGGGTTCTCTCGAGAACCCGAAAGAAAAAAAAAAAAAGAAAGGGTAAATTTGTAATTTTACTTTCAAAATTATTTAGTTATATAGAGTGTGCACTCTCGAGTGTTGAACCAGGGTATGCAGGAATCATGGTATGCAAGAATCATGGTCCTTTGTTTTAACACAATAGTATAGTATTAAAAGAGTCATAATCATAAAATCTAAACCTAAAACCTTAATTTAAATCAATTTTATCCAAATGACAGGCAAAATCACTATAAACTAAACAAGGTCATCAATTAGTACTTTTTAAGAACTCAGACATCTTTGATGATTATTTTTTTATTAGCAAAAAAAAAATTGCATGACAATCTAAGAAAATGAAAAATTTTAATATATAGTCCTCAAATTTATCAAAAATCAAACTTAATTTCCTCCTTCCTTTCCATTCTCATTTCTTTCCATTTTCCCTTCCCTTCCCTCTCTTCTATCTTCCTAAACTAACAAAATTGCCATATTCTTTCTTTATTTATGATTATCAAAAGCCTCCTACTAGCTATTTTAATCTTTCCCTTCCAATCCTTCTCTTCTAACATACCAACAATAACAAAATTGCATCATTCTTTCTTTATTTATAATTATCAAATGCCCCCTACTATTTTTAAATTTTCCCTTCCAAACCTTGACAAAAATGCCATCTCAACAACCTTGCGCACTGTCGGCCAAAAAAGTGAAAAATAAAAAAACAACCTTGCGCACTAAAGACAAATTCCTAGCTCCGCTGGTGGCATTCATTTATTTAAATAAATTCTAGGTTTACGATTTTAATCCAATATAATTGGTTTACTAAAGGCAAATTCCTAGCTCCGCTAGTGGCATTAATTTATTTAAATAAATTCTAGGTTTGCAATTTTAATCCAAAATAATTGGTTTTGCTGTTAAATATTTTAGTTGGACAAAGACAGGAGGAGCAGAAGTCTTTGTTTCAAAAAAATATTGTTTAATTTTGGGTTCAACTTGTTCCGAGTAATTGACCCAATAAATCCTGTAATAATTGTGCATACAACGGGCCTGTATGGTTGAGCCAGATGTGGACAGTTGCTTGTGTGGGGAAATAATGAGTCTTTTCACATTCCTATTGGACCCACCAAATCGTTTTCGTTTACATTAGCTCTGGATTTGTAGGGTTCCCATCTAAAGGCAATTCCAAATTGTGCACTTAATTATTGTTACTTGTGATTATAGCTAACTGAATAATTAATTTTTGGGAATAATCTGATCATTTCTCTTTTAAAACAAAAGAAACAAAGAAGTACGTAACAGACTTCATGAATGCTTCAACTTTGAAATCTTGTTCTAATTCCTTTGGACATTTGCTATGCTGTCAGGAAACCAGCAGAGGAAAAATATTAGACAAATTATTAATAAGGTGCAGTCAAAGTCAAATTAATCATATCGTCAATTAAATTAGTGTTTTTTTATTACTTTAATAACCTTTAATTTTGGTTTGCGAATAAGTTTATTCATATTCTGTAGCAATTTGGGGCATAAAATAATCAAACTTTTGTTTTGTTATTTAACCGTCAAAAGGATCAGGCTAATCTCCCTCTAGAAGTTGAAATCCTTCTTTTATTATCAGACAAAAATATTGTATCCCGTGCTGGGTTCACAAGGCCTAAAAAAACATTACATCAACTTCTTAATTAATTTAGTAATAATTTTTTTAATTTCAGTGAAAATAAAAGATAATTAATTTAAGTTATATGAATTATAAGTAAAATAATTTAAATAATAAAAGATAATTGTTTAGTATTATACTAACTGCAAATCTAATATCCAAAGGAAGATTAACTAATCAATATTTGCAAGTGGCTGATAGGAGGGTGTACCATGCCTTAAAATTGTTGAGAAAAATATTAGTATTAAGATAGGATTGTTTTTTATTTTATAATTCAAACTGTAATTGCTTGTAAACTAAAAATTATTAAATAAAAAATAATATCTAATATTCAAAAAATTTAATCTTATTTAATAATTAAAAAATTATGTAATATGAACTGTAAATTATTTTTTTTCATTGGAAGACACAGAAAGTTGACCAACAGAAACATCCGTGGTTCAAGATATGCATAGAGAATTGTATAGAATAGACTAATCAAAGAAAGTCGCCCAAAGAAAGTCGCCCAAAGATAAAGTCTGATAGACTGAAAAGAGTTGTATGGAATAGAAATAATAAAGGGACCACAACCCCGGCCACGGGTTACCAAGAGAAAAAAGAGAAGAAAGTCTGAACCAGATCGAGAAAATGGCTGCAACTGTTTGATTCTTCAGAGTTTGGGCAGAAGAAACTATATACGTGTGTGTCGGTGAGAATTATATTAAGCAAATTCATGCAAAAACACGGTTGTAATGTCAGCTGTCCATCAAATATCATTACGCGGTGAAATAATATGATCGATGATCTTTGGCTGTCTCCTGGACTCAGCTACCGGCCGGCAATCATATGTGTAAATCTCAATTAGGTTTTCAGTGAAGTGATGTTATTAACTTGGTTCCATGTTTCTTAACTCAAAACTAGAAATTAATCTTGTTTGTTCAAGTTTTGTAGTTTATAATGTTAAAGAAGTAGTGTACGCAAACATTTTTCACGATAAATGAATAAGTATTGACCACTAATTAAAAATGATGGTTTTGTTTATTAAGGTTTAGAATTTGAGTCTTATTTTGTATATAATTTTTAATATTTTTTAAAGTTAAATAAGATCTAATTTAATGGTTGAGATGAATATCTAATATAGCTAGGTTTTTGGTTTGAATTTTATCTTGTATGAGTTGTCCAATTTTATGATAATAAAAAAAAAAAAACTTAATTTTTGCAAATCACTTAATTAATTTTAGTCCTACAACCATTCAAAGGACTGGAAAAGAAAACTCTAGAAATTAATTAACCCCACATACAATATGTTATCATGTCTTACCACTATTACAATAAACTTATACTCCAAAGTATTTGATATTTTATAAAGTTAATTATTATGGAGACCATATCAAGACCTTTTTGTATTGCATTTCTATTTCATAAAGTGGGAACGAAATAAAAAGGCATTTAGAAAAAAGATATATAGAATCTTTATGCATAGGTCTACCTGATTAAACATCTTGTAGGACTTTTCAATCTTAAAGATTAGACTTATGTACAAATTAACTTTTAATTTTATGTTTCAATGAATATATGTAGCTAGGAATATAGATAAAGGTGTATACATGTATTCAGATTTAAGTAACATACATATATGATTTACGAGGACATGATAATTAAATACATGCTGATAAAAAGGAAGTAAATACCAAAATTAATTTATAGTTTTTGAAACTGGATTTGAAATGTAATAACCTAAACGAGCCTATCAATAATTCCTTTCTAATTGAAATAAGAAAATTTTGGGTTTTAGTTGAAAACATGTAAGTGGGTCGGTGGGTGTGGGGGATTTGCGATAAATTATGACTACTGTGCTTGAATATTTCGGATAAGCTCAGTTATCATCACCAAAATAAACTAATTAATAAGTCTACTTGAATTAAACTCAAACATTAGGAAATTGCCCTGGTCCTACAACCATTTCCATCAAGACAGACTCATTGCATCTACTTCATGCACATCTTTTCTAAATTTGGTTTTACGTGGGGAGAAATGCTAGACCATAATGTCTGCCACATCGCGTTCTTCTCTATCACCCATACCCTTCTTAAATACCCGCTTGTCGAATCTTTATCTTTTGATTTATTAATCCATACATTGGAACGCAACACCAACTCAAAAAAAACCAAGTCAATCACATGCTTTGAAACCATGACACCTCTAAGAGACAAGAACATGCAAAAGGGTCAAGATGGACACACTTTGGTGATGAAGTTGGGAGAACCATCATAGAGAGAAATTAATGGACCATTCACAACAGTGCTTGTTTCTCACCTCGGCATTATCACAAACACTATCGTTTGTGGATCTATGCAGTGCAATATGTCTAGACACATCATGATTTTTGATTCAAGGGGTCATCTTTCTCAATGATGAACTGCATTATGAAATATTAAAACGAGAAAACAGAAGCTCTCAACTTGGCTTTAGAGAGCTAATTCGTGACAATAAGGGAAATGAAGGCATCTAATTAATTAGCTAGAAATGAGAGTTACAGAACGAACCTCTCAAAAAAAAGCTTCTGCTTCTCGAAAACAAGACGAAATACAAACAACAAGAGAGCTAGCTGAGAGGATTACATATGGTGACCTTCTCTTGTAAGTTTGTTTAGTAGTGCTGTAATAAGAGCATCCCTTTTCTCAGACCTAGCTTCTTCCCTCATCCTCCTTTGCTCTTCCCTTTCTCTCCACCTTCTATCCATCATTAACCTCTCGTTCTCGAGCGCTTCCATCGTCTGTCTCCACTCCATCTCCTTTATCCTCCTCTCGTTTTCCCTTGCCTCGAATGCTTCCCACCATTGTTTCTCCATCTCCATCTGTTGCCTTACAAAATCCTCCAAAATTTCCCTCAAATTATTACCACTCCCACTACCTGTACTAGTCGCAGTACTTGCACTAGTTTTCCCTTTTTTCTTCTTTCTAACACCACCCTTATCTCCTTCACTTTCCTCGTTATCATCTTCTTCATCTGACGATACCTGCACCCCCTTCTTTTTCGACCCGGTCGCTCCTCCTTCAGCCTCAGTCCACAACATTCTCTGCATCCTCGCAGCAAAAATAGCTTGAATCTCATTATAAAACGGAAATTGTTGACGCATAGCTTCCGGTTCCACCGTTTCACATCCCTACACACAAAACACCAATACACCGAACAATGAATCCTGAATTAAGGTGAACGGTTCAAACTTCTGCACTAGACATAAGCACTAAAAATATTTTAATAAAATAAATTCAAAAAATAGGGTTTTTATGCAAAGTTAAAAACTTTATCACAAAATCACTATTTTTTACCTTGTATCTTGTAACGAGGTTTTTCCATTTACACTTGCACTGTTCAGCGCTGCGATTGTAACCCTTTTCCTTCATCTTGTTAGAGATGACCTCCCATAGAAGCTTGTTCCGCTTCGTCTCCATGAAGGCTCGATCCAGCTCTGCTCTGATCATCAAGAACTCCTTGGTTTCCAGAATACTCCATTGCGGAAACCTATCTCCCGCATCCACGTTGACACTGATGTGCGGTTGCTGCTGCTGCTGAGGAAGAAGATGATGACGATGATGCTGCTGAGGATGAGGAGGACGGTTCCCCTCCATAACTTCCAAACGCGTAATCCAGAAAAGCCACAAACTAGAAAGATAGATTTGCACGGCCAAAGATGGATCGAAAGGGGAAAAGGGAAAAAAATGGAGATGAAAACTTTATACGGAGTTGGTGTGAAGGGTAAGTGTGAACCCTCAAGAATAGAGAAAAGAAATAAAAACACAAAATTTTATTTAAAGGAAAAGGAGAAGTATTTCCTGATGCTTAGGTGTTATACAGTAAGGTGTTATATCATTCGTTCAGATTTAAAAAAAATGAAACCAGAGAAAGTGTTTTTTTTTCTTTTCTTTTTTTTTTTTTT